TACGTACGTACTACGAGTACGTACGTACGAACGTACGAAGTACAGTACGAGTAGATAGAGAGTAGAGTAGAGANAGAGAGAGAGAGAGAGAGAGAGAGAGAGAGAGAGAGAGAGTTTCCCTTTCAAATTGGTAGCATACTTTTATGTGCTCCCCTCCTTTGACAACCTATTGTGGTAATGGAGCATGTTAAATTTCACTCGAAGATGTTAAAAATGTTAATGTTGACTATGACAGACCTCCGCTAAGTTGAGGGAGGAAGTGCATTTGATGGGGTTTCAAAATATGAATGGCGAGGTACATGGTTGTAGCTCTTTTTCCCCAGTGCAAGATAGAAGTATAGACAGCTTCACCTGCTGTCATGGTGGCATGTTGTTCATGCGTATCTAGGTTTCGGGTTTGTGTCCCAGCTTGACGGCCCCCCTCTCTCTCAAATTTCTCTGAAAATAAAGAGAGAAGTACAAGTTTTGTTCAGAACAGAAAACTAAATGAGGAAGGAATGAACTTTTGCCTATGAAGCAGTTGAGTGGAGAGAGATCAAAAGAGGGGGAAGATAAAGAAATGGAGTACGGATAGAGGAAGAAGGAAAAAGGGAGACAGGAAAATATGTGGCAAGGAAGTGACACGATGACGGAAACGCACCTGGTGAATAGACTAAAAAGTAGAACAAAAGAGCACCTTCCACTAGATTGTAGTTGAGACTTCTTTTTATTAAATCCAATAATATGCTTTTGCAGTCATACTTGCTTAATTAGATGAGATAGCTTATGTAATGCTTATTAAGGGTTCCATTGGGATGTGAAACTTTGCATCATTCGTCTGCTTATTGCTTTTTAACTGACTGTTTTTTACTGTCACAGAGAAGAAAAAGGGTCATTGAGAAATTTACAATCCCCATGAGTAGGCTGGTGCATTCTTGGGTCCATTATTGGAATGAAAAGTATTAGCTACAAAAGTGTTATTTTGGAGTTGCAAAATGTATGTCATGCAAATTAGATGGTTCACTGAATATTTTCACTCTAGAGAATTCCATGTTTTATTTCTTGAATAGTTTGTAAGTTATGAATTCAGCTGTGTGGAAGGTTTTATACCTGCCACATAACCTCCCATGTGAAAGTGTTTGTTCCCAGCTCGTTTTTCTGTCTTGAGCATGTGTCCTTATGGGTGATTCAGCTATAACATCCTGGATTATAAGGCTTGCATTAATGCTCCTTGATTAACTTAAGGTTTTGTGTCATAAGCTTTCTTTCATAGAGAAGAAAGAGATTTGGTGACCTGTTCCTGAGGGTCTGAGGGATGAGGGATAAAACCTTTCCATATTTGGGAAGAAATTACAGCACAAAAAGAAATTCAATTTTGCACATGGAGTTATGTAAGTGCTTTGAGAAGTTGTTTTGTTTAATATGTTTCTCTCCATTTCTTTTTGCACTAATTTCTTTGATATGTAGAATTGTGGGAGCTGTCTATAACACAATATGTGCTTTGTGAGATCTTCAGTACAGCCTTTTCCTTCTTTTTAGAAGTATTGTTATGTAAGATTATGTTGTTGTAATTTCCATGCTGCATTTCTATAGTGTGCATTGTTTATAATGTATCTGGTTCATGTCTTGACAAGTTTGGAACTTGAAACTTGTTTCCCATTAAGGTGGTCGAGGGGGCAGAGGTTTGGGAATAGTGCCTTGGCAGGCCTTCTCATCTAGTGATGGAAGTAGATCGCTTTCTAGGTTCTAAATTCTTACTAAAGCTCCCAGTGGTTTCTCAGGAGTTAATCATTTGTTAAATTAGTGGGTGTCCCTTTATTTGTGAGGTTGAGGGTGAATGATGAATATCTAGAACAAACATGATTTTGAATTTGCAGGTGAGGTCTCCAGTACAAGCTCTTTATAAAGCATGTGGTGAGACGATGGACACATCTATACAAATACCCGATGTGGTTAACAAATTATTTGGGGTTTGCAAGATGATAAGAGCCTTGATTAAGGTTTCAAAATGCAATGAGGTATTCTTTTGGGGCTCAGAAGGGAAAAAGAAATAGTCATGTTTGGTCTTTGGCACTACAAATTCATCTCGAAATACATCTCTATAATTGGAATGAGAGTTCCCTTGGATAACTACAACATGCTGGGATGATACAGTGCAATTTAGGAAACATGAAGATTATCTTGACAAGATGTCCATTCTCCAGGAAGCATGATCCCCTACCTTGTCTTTCTGAATTTTGGTGCCTGAAATCTGGGGGGCCAATGTGTACATGCGTGACTGCACTCGTGCACATGCCTGTAACTTTCTAGTATACTTTTCTTTGTATGTGCTTTTTGAACCATGTATTATTTGCTAACATGGTCCATGGGGAATGCTTGTACATAGAAGGGGTTGAGATGCACCATTTGATATTAAGATTGTTTATCATAAGGTACTGGAGCCTTATGCTTTTTCCCTAAGTTCTGAACTCTTGGCTTTTAGCATTTATCATGTTATCCACCACGTATCTTCTGAATTAAGTTTGTGGATCTGGTTTTGTGAACTTATACGGTGTACAAAATATGTTATAAGGTTTAACCCTGATGTTTGACTATTTCAACAGGAAAAGAGTGAAGCTAGACATGGTGAGCTTAAGGAGGCGCAGACTTTTGGGGCTGTCTCCAGGTATATCCGATATTAACTTAAATTTTGATATCTTTTGAAATGGAGTAGAATGGGGTAGGAATTTGATGTGATTTTTCTTTTTCTGAGCTTATTCGTTCTTTCTATTATTTTGCAGGAAAAACTGATTATGTGCCTGAACTTCCCAAGTTTAGTGAAATTCCTAATATGTTAAAAAAGGTTGTCGAGAATACCAAGTCTCTTAGAATGCAGTTGCGGCCTGTGCTTTCAACCGATTCTGGCTGGCAGAAGCAGGTAATTTAATGAGTTCCCCATCAGCAAAGAACTAATAGAGGCAACAGGATACTGTTATCCATGAACTACAGAAACAGTAGAATCTGTCATCACCATCAGTTGAAATGATGGAATTTGATATGGAGAGAGTGGGACTAGCCATGGCAGGACATGTCCTCAATGGTAGGCCCCACTCTCTCTCCGTCATACACCGTCATTTGATTGGAGAAGATGGCCCAGTGAACCATGGCTTTTCCATAGTCCCTTGGATGATAGTGTACTTCCTCTAGGGAGAGCTTTGTCTTTGGATGTTAGATTTTTGGAAAGAAACTTATGATATTGTTAATTGTCAATTGTGTTCTTGTGTATTAGGCTGATGACCTGTGAAAACTGAACAACTCAAATTCCCTTAATTGGACAAAGATGAAATACATGTTCTAGATTTATGAAAATATAAACAATATGTACTCATCATTTATTTTTTAAGAAAAAAGCTATAGTATCAAATGGGGGCACATAATGCATTATGCAGCCGAATCAAAGCAGATGCTCCTCCATTCCTTCAAATTGGAGAATTGAGGGAAATGAACAACATTGAATGCCTGTCAAATAATTGACAATAAACCTTGATGCCATGCCTTCATGAACTATGCTTGAGATGGGATAAGTAGAGGCATCATCAGCAATGTCATTAACATGTGAAGAATTATATAATCCTTTCCATATCAAGCAAAAAGAGAGTAGTCAGACACATTGCCTAGACTCTTATTTCACAAAAGCCTCAGTTCTCTCAAACCAAGTCTGTGAAGTACTTTGTCAAGTCTGCATACTAAAGATAGATATGTGAGATAGCAAGGGAAGGTTACATATATATCTCTTATTTTAAATCATTATTAAGATATGCGTTCCAGGTGTTTTTGTCATAAACTTTATTTGATACTGTGATCTGACTGAGGTAAGCATTGTCCAATGTAGGATTTGGCTACTGGTTGTGCCTTGAATGACCGAGGGAGCCATTTGCCAAGGTTCTCAAGGCCTCACCTAATATATCCACTAACAAGTTACTGAGTTTGTTGTAATTTGAACCAGTGAATAAATACTTGTTTCAATTTGGAAAAACTTGCTCAAATCAATTCAACTTATGCACTTGATTTTATAAATGAAAAACTCAGGAAGCATCTGGGTTTTCGATATATCTTATTTTCTTTGTTAACCTAATACATAGTCTTTTCTGATCGAGTGATTTGGTAGCATTGCAATGCATTTTAGGTGACAATCTCGTTCATTCCCATTACAGACTCTAATTTTCCTTGTTTAGAAAATCTTCACATGAAATTTTGAAAAACTTGCCTGAGTTAACTCAGCAATTTGGATCAATTTCCCTTGACCTATCCTGTCACTGATATTGAGTTTTTGAACACTGAGATGAACTTCTTAATCATGTTTAAGTATTAGGGATTTCAGTGCCTGGCTCAGTGGTTAAGGTGTTGAGGGCCACAGTAGATGTCCAAGTTTCAAATCCTTTCTTTTTACTAAGCCAGAAACAAAAGAGAAAAATATGTGATTCTATTTCAATATTACAAATGCTTTTTCTGGCTGTCATATTTCGGGATGCAAAGTTGCTGCACATGATACATGTATGCTACATGATACGCATACCACCATCCACCTGTTGGGAGCAAAGGGTGAGGATGATCCATACCAAATACAGGCTGTAATTTATGTGCTTCTAGATATAAGCATGGTGGCTCATGAGTTCTCTGCGACTGCTCTACCATCTTATATTCATGAGGACATTATGGGATGAGAATTAGTAAGATGTGAGAACCCCCTTGTGTGTGTGAGTATTTGACAATGCATTTTGGGAAACTGGCAGAGTGCAATGTGGTTCCTACTATAAACAGGTTACCATGGTGTTAATTTCTGTCTCATACCCTCAGCATGATGGCTAATACCAAGCATACTTGACAGCAGTTGATTGTATTTCAAGCTAACATAGTGATGATTAATGCCCTTTCCTTGTTTAAAAGGTATATGCCTGAGATTGTGTGCCTTGTTTTCTATAAAAGCACCATATGGTCACAATTTCTCATTGTCATATAGTTCAAGACATCTAAAAGGGATTATGAAGTAGCTAAATTCATGTGGTCAGGAGTCCCATCTTGTGGCAACAGATTTACAATTTTCTTCATCCAAACCTTGCATAGAACATAGATAAAAATGACATTCCACGCAGACATTAAAAGGCAGCACTTTGGTATTACTTACTAATGTTATATCAAAATGACAGGCTGAATTGGTCTCCAAAACTCTGAGAGATTATGGAATACAAAGAATAGGTGCTGTTGTACCAGGCTAGGGTTCAGTGACTTTCATGATATTTAGAAAAGGGAGAAAAGGGAAATTATCAAAAAAGGAGGAAAGAGGTAGGGCCCATGTTTGTGGGGCCCGGAGCCTACTGTTGGCCCCCTTTCCTTAGCATCATTTGCATAAGCTAACCTGCATAGAACCTTCTCAGCGGGGAACATTTTACAAAGGACCCGCACATCTTGTATGGATTTTACAAGAGGTTTGTGAAGCATTTTTGCAGATTTTTGAGGATCAGAGATCCTGAATTTTCTGGAGAATATGTGCTTATTTGAGCAATACATATGTGCATAGTTTTTCAAAACATTTATGGCAACTCTTTATTTGCTGTTTCCTGCAAACTGTATATGCTTTGTAAAGCATGTGTGCTGATAATTTCTTTGCCCCAAGTATGCCAGCTCAATTGCGATGTAAACATGCATTTTTGATATAGAGTTAAACGTATATTCTAAAAGTTTTCAACTACATTTATGTGCACAATTTATTTGAAACAGTAATTGCTTTTGATGTGTATGGTTTTGGGAAAAAGGGAGTAAAATTTTCAAGGATTTGTAATATGTAGAGATTTAATATATACTTGTATGACACACAATAATTTGGCAGTGACAACTACGCATTTAACATTCATGTTTCAGCACATATATCTGATTGACATACCTTGAGGCAGAGCAATAAATTGTTAAGGTTTATTTACCTTAAAGTCTTTCATACTTTTCTTTCCCTATAGTTTGTCCTAAAACCTTCAAAGAATAGTGCATTAAATAGCTCCATCTCCTCGAGAAACTTGTTTTATATCTTTTTTTTTTCAATGAAAATATTACTAGGGAATAAAAGCGCTTATTCTGGTTTTGACTGCAGCATGAGAACCAGCCAGGATCTATTTTGAAAATATATATTTGCTTCATTCATAAACAGGGGGTTCATTATGATAGGTTCACCCAAGGATTGGTGGAAAGGATATGACAAAATCATGGTCATTAATAGTCATATCCAGTGTTTTAAACTTGGGAAGTCCAAACTCGGACTCCCTCAGGTTCCTTGGGCACAGGAGGGTGCTGAACTGAAACTTCCCCTAACTCGGGATGTATATATATAAATGTGTATATATATATATATATATAATTGATTTGTTATGAATTATAGTTGATTTATAAATTATTTAAACCTAGACTAAATGAAAAGTGATTGACTTATAATTACGTTTATATATTCTTTTTATGATTTTATGAATTTTAATATTTTTTTTTCTGATTTTTCTTTTTTATTTTTCTGAGAATGATATTTAACGAGTATTCTATTTTTCTTTGAAAACTGTCATATTTTTGTTCTTTGAAAACTTTCTCATCTTTTATATATATTTTCTGTTGATCATCATATTTTTCCACCGATTTTTCCGGTTTTCTCGCTTTTTTTTGAGTTTTTGGCTCGTTGAGTGGCTCAGCATTGTCTCAGGCAAGTTGTCTTGGACACGCATGAGTGACTCAGCCAGGCTTGGACCTGATTTTTGAGCCCAAGCTGATTTTAAGAACACTATTCATATTCTTTGTGTAACCAGTCTCGGACCTTGTGTTCTAATTTATAGAATCAGCACTATTGGTTCAATATGCTAATGGTATGAGTAGTCCCATACTGCTGGTGGATTTACTGTCTATGGACTTGTTCTACGTGATTAAGAGGGCAGACTATGGGAAAACCAGGACGAATGGGATTGTGGAGGCATGTCGAGATGATCAAAATGCATAAAAAACTAAAAGGCAAGCAATAATCTCACACATACAAACATATAACAATGTGTACACATATGCATGTCTCTCAAGTCACCACATGTAGTTTTAGACAAGACATTAGTAATTAGTAATACACTTGCATCTTATATGCCAAATGACCAAAATACTTGTTGGTTTGCAATCATGTAATAGGGGAAATGTATTAAGTGATGTCGTGACTTCCTCGTAGATGCTGATTTAGGGAAATTGATAGAACAATAAAGTCAACAAGAAATCAAGCCAAACACTAGCAAAAACTAGGAAAAACCGTAGGGTTTCTTCCGCACACCCAAGCTAGGGCTCAAAATCCAGGAGCTTTTACTCTTTCTTTTATGAAAACAAAGTCATGTGGAATGACCCTTCTGGGCCCCACATATCTCTTAGATAGTAATATTTAATGTTCAAGGACGATCAATGTCATCAGCATCATCATTCAAGCCTTATCCCAACTATTTAGGATCAGATGCAAGAGTCATGTTTCGCCATTCTGCTCTATCAAAGCCACTACCCTCAGTTAGGTTTAGGATTCATGAAAAGATGTGACCAGTGTTCAAAAAAGCGGACTGCCTAGCGCCTAGGCGGTCTAGAAGGCCTGGGCGGCCGCCTAGGCAGTACAGAACTCGGCTAGGCAGCCGCCCAGCACACAGCTCTGAGTGGCTGCCCAGGGCTTGCGCCTTGTCTATGGGCGGAACTTTTTTTTTTTCATTTCTATTGATTTTTTTTAAATATAAAGGGTTTCAAAGGATGGGTTTTAGGTTCATTTGAAACCTAAACCTACAAGAACCCATTTTAAAGAGAAAGAAACCTCAAGAACACATCCTTTTCTAATTTTCATTGGATCGAAGTTGGATTGAAGGAAAAATGGATCCAAACATCACCTAGGTAGAT